CCTCGATTCCACAGGAATTCCGAATGCTGGACACGCAGGAGGGGCGAAACTTGGAGCTGTCCGTAGTAGACGCTCTCCTGCAGCAAGACCTGAGGAACAACTCGGCGTGGAATCACAGGTGGTTCGTCATGCACTCTGCCCTGGGCACCAAGGGGTCGCTATCAGACGAGGTGTGTATTCTATGTCAAGCTGCAGGAGATGCGTGAAAAAAATTCTTGCGGTCCCACTTCCTGCGGTTTTTGGCTGATGAGAAGCGATTCCGTGAGGCGAAGTTTTCGTTTTTGAAGGGAAAGCGTGCTTGAACATTTTGAGGCGTTTTTTTTAGATTGTGCTCGGTGAGGATGGTGACGATGACGATGATGATGATGATGATGATGATGATGATGATGATGATGATGATGATGATGATGATGATGATGCAAGGAGAGGAGGGCGCAGGCGTGGTTGTCCCGGGCCGCCCGCGCCGCGGCGGCGCGTCGATGTGCTTGCCTTGTCCAATCCAACACATGACACATGTATCGTGCACTTTTTCGGTTGCTCGTGGCAACCTTTTGCAGCACGCACCGACGGAATAGGAGATTCTGCCCTGTGCGTGTAACATCCCTGTAGGTCACTATGGTCAAGCAAACCGCCCCCCCGGGTGTGGTTCTCAGCGCGTACCCCCTCGTGGTGTCCGATCAAGCCGCAATCCGTATCCTATGACTGCTGTTTTTGCTTGTGTCAGAGCCTCTCACCGCCTACAGCGGCCGAAGGTAAAATTGTACGCAAGGGGGGTGGGGGGGGTGTACTCATAGTCGTGCATGCCGTAGTTGTTGGACCATTGACCTCGCATCCCTACAAAGCCGGGACGGAGCACGCCGGGTTCTCACCGGACCAGGCTCTCACGTCACCTTTTGGTGGGTGGGGCTTTGCACATGGGTGTTCTGCGTTGTTAGATGTGCTCTTTCGTGACGTCATCGTTCACATTGCTTTCGCCAGCGTGGAGAGGGTTCGGTGGAGACCTAACCCGTCGTCGGGCTTGAGTAGTTGGGGTTGTCAGGATGGAGGGGATTGGTGGATAATATCGGAAGTATGATATAAGCGACGATGCGGTGTGCACGTCGGCATTCGTCGCGTGCGCATTCCTTCCCTCGTGTGTCTTTTGGGATTGTTGCTTCTCTCTTTCATTGTTTCGTTGCAAAGGGCAAGCAGCATAGCTTGCGTGTGTCCTCGCGACCATAGAAAAGTACGGTCCAACGTGTGAGAAAACAGGACGCAGAGGAGGGAAGGCACCGGCGGGAGCAGGTGATCACCGTGCAGTCTCGAGCGCGGTGGTGATGTTGTTGCTTGACAAGATAAAAGAAGCCCTCCTTGATTGCCTTGCCAGCGTGTGTAGCTGGCAACGCTTTTCATCGTAGCATTGTTATCGTCATTGTATCATTAGGCCGTCAAATCTGAGCTGGCGTACGCGCTGGGGTTCGCCAAAACCGCGCCTAGCAACGAGAGCCCGTGGAACTACCTGAGGGCGTTTTTCCGGACGGGGGGCAGGGCGTTCAAAGACTTCCCGGAGGTGAAGGAAGCGGCTCTAGCGATGCAGGTGCGAAAGAGAGAGACGGCGCCCTCGTCGCGACGTCGTTGTTTTGTTTGCGATATAGGTAGACTTCGCAGCTTTTTGTATTCAGAGAACGTGTTGGACAACGCATTCAATTTGGGGTTGGGTTATAGGGGTAAGGGATAGGGTCTGCGTACCCCCCTCCCTGTTCTGTTTCCTCATGAACTTAGTTTCTCGCGAAGGCGGTCCTGGGGTCGTACACGTTTCGACGTTGCGGTCACCTCCCTGATTTTTCCCCCGTTGGTGAGGGCGTGTCTGTGCTGCTGCCCCGCTGCCAAGCACGGCCTGCCTGCAGCGGCGGGGCGCACGAGTGAAGGCGAGAAACGTTCACAGCGTTGTTGGCTCCGTTCTTACTTTCCCCGCCCCCCCGGGGAGGTCGAGATCAATGCTGGTCTTTGTGTTGTCGTGGGGGGGGGCGGGGGGGGGGGGCGNGGGGGGGGGGGGGGGGGGGGGGGGGGGGGGGGGGGGGGGGGGGGGGGGGGGGGGGGTCGGTTAGGGTGCCAGCGTGTGTTATGTGCCTTGTGGCGTGTTATGTTTGCCGGCTGGACGTTGCAGAGGTTCTCCCCACGAATGCAGTCGGTGGTTGTTGAATAGGACGGTGGGAGGAACCAGCGTTTCTTCTGTCCGTCTTGGGGGGGAGTGGGTGGTGTGACTCCGCGGGGCCGCTTTGTAGCTCATGAATTCTTGCTATATAGCCGGCCTGCCGCGGACGTATCGGAATGGTCGGTTCCCTGTTGTTTGTCGACTTTGCAGGCTTCTTCCCCGGACGTTTTTGGTGGCGATGTTAAGCGGTTGATCACTTACAGGGTTGGAAAAATAGGGACTGGAAGACCACCAACCATTGTTTAATCACAATGCAACGCGATGAAAATAACACATTTGAAATAACGATACGCCATTATATTGTGTTTTTGTCGCGACGAGGAAAATAAAAGCACGTAAGATACCATGCGTGACGGACTCCTCAAGGCAAAGACACGGAAGAATCATGCAGGTGTTCCTTTAGACCCAGACACTGGAGGAGGCATGCCTCCAAAGGATGGCAATAGCGGAACACGTGTCCGCAACTGCACGCGCGAACGCTCCGCAGCATACGTACGAAAACTGATCATCTTGTCGAGAGGATGTCATCACTTTCTTCAGACCAAGTCCTGCCGTATGCCAGGCGTTAGTGCATGAGTCTGCGATGTGTGTTGCCGTGCACTTTGGCGGCGCAACCTGACCTTTTGTCCTCGCCTTTGTCCTGGCACGCTTGCTATTATCCCCTCGCCTGCTGTTGTTATTTCGGCAACTCCTCCTGTGTGGTGGATGGGTTGGTTGGTTACCGCAGAAGACCGAGGCCGGCGCGAAGAGCCCTCACGTGTTCAGCTTGCTGGCCGAGGTATGAAATTGTTGTTGTTGTTATTGATGTTCGTTGTTGTTTCGTGGTGGGTGGAGGGTGGTGGTAGTGTTGTTGTGTTGTGTGATGCTGTTATTGTTGTTGCTCTTGACGGTTCCTTTCGCAAAACTCAACTTCGCTTAGTACGCTCAAATAGAGCAGAACCGGCACCGTGTGACCCCCTGTGACCCCGCCCCCGTCTCCAAAACATTGCCTCGACAAAAGCGGTGCGTACGGACCCCCCCCACCTCGCTACTCTCGTCGGGGACCTCGTCTGACGTGCAACGTGTTTCCACGACGTACCACGCTGAGAATTCTGCGCCCCCCCCCCCTGGCAATTGGTACGGCTATGCTGCTGACTCCGTTTTCCCTTCCAGATTCCTTCCTGCCGTCCGGCCTTGTTAACGGCGACCGCTTACCTCCCCCTCTGTGCAGGTGTACGAGAAAGAAGGCACCGAAGACTCCCTCACGAAGGCGATCGCCGCCTTCCAGCACCTCAGGGACACGCTGGACGAAGTGAGAGCGAGGTACTGGGAGAGCCGCCTGCGCGCCGCAGCGACTCGACGGCGGCAGGTTGGCGGTGCTGGCGGTAGTGTCGCCGCGCCCGCTGCTGCTGCTGCTGCTGCTGTGGAGACGGCATCGGAAGGAGCAGCGTTGTGACCCCCTGTTTTTTTGGGTACGCAGCGGACTGGTGTAGAGGGGCTTCGAGATGCTGTGCCCCTTCCGTTTTCACCTGGGGGGTAGTGATGGCTTGCTTCGATGCCTTTTTTTTACTTGACAGCCCCGCAGCCGCGTTTGTTTTTCATCTTCAACGATTGGTATTTAGAACCCCGATATCACGCCCTCTAAGCGGGAAATGGTTCTGGGTAATTCGTTCTTGCCGAACGCTCGCTTCGCTACAGCAGCGCCGTCGGAAGCCTTGCGAGGAAGAAATCAGTCTGGTAGTTGGCGTAGTCAGAGTGCCGTACGTTGTGGTAGAGCCTACATTGGGGTTTTTCAACTGTTCTCGTGTGTTGTGTGGGTGTTCACGTTTGAAGAATATTTCGAGTGTAAATCTGAAAGTGTTGGTCTTGGAGCGGTATGTGTATGCGCCCCTCTGCCAAGGGGTGTTAACAGTGGCATGGGACCCTCGCGCTGGCTAGAAGCAGAGAATGATCGTAGGGTGCTCTCCGACCGCCCGTGGCCTGTCTGCCCCGACGTAGCGTACCATTTACGCCGCATGGCTTTGTTCGGTGCGCCTTTAATTTGGGCAACACATTCACGCATGTATGTATGTGTTCCTCTCTATGTAAGCGACGCTGGGAGCGGACGCTAGAAGTACAAAAAAAGCAATTACCGGTAGCTCCCGCACTTGAAAACCTCTAGTGTAGTTATGGCCAAGGCCGGTATTTACTTACGGCCAAGGCCGGGGTTGTTAGTTCCTTCGGTGAGGCATCAAATGTGGCCGCTACGTATAGGTTTGAATGCAGGGGTCAACAAACGGTGCTGCTCAAGTTTTTTTTTTTGGGTGTGATAATAATATCAAGCATGCCGGCGCTAGCTGCTGTACATGTGATTTCGTGGATACGAATAAGCAGTGGAGGGCATGAACTCTCGGAAACGACTGAACCGAAAGCGAGTCCTGACGGTTATCTGACGGTACATGTTCCAGATGGTATGTGGTTCTGAACCCCCCCCGTACGCACAACTTTTATTGCTTTTTTTGCGCCACGCCTACCCAAGCAGTTGATTGAGCGTTTTTCTCCTTATGTACCTGGTATGTACTTTCATCCCACCGATCAGTGCACTCGCCAAAAATGCTTTGGCCGAAACTTGCCAGCCCGAGCGTGGAGCCAGACTGGTCAGCGCGGACTCGTCTAATGGTTTGATTTCGGCTTCTATAGAACTCGTCATGAGGGGTGCCGGAAAGCACTTTCTTTCATTCTCAGGCGATCTTCGAACATCTTAGGGTGAGGTATTTAGTTGGGAGCAGTAATGCCGCTCACTAGTGATCTTCCGATACGACCAGCTGAGATGACGACCCGTTGCGGAGTAACATTTTACCAGATGGAGGAACGGAACAGTACTGTTACAGTACCAACACGCTGCTGCCGTTGTACGTTGCCTAAAAAATACTTTTCTGCTGTGGACTTGTGAAGTCTGCAGGCAGACCTGGAAATTTCGAAATTTTCAAACTTGGAAAAATGTCCAACGTACCCGTCCGCTTCGTTTCGAAAGTATTGGGGGGAAGTGCCACAACTTTATCGATTCCTTCCTGGTTTCTCGAGCAAGAGAGAGGTACCCACTTTGTAGTGCTGCAGGGGAACAACACGTTGTACAATGTATAGGGCACGGTCCGGGTGGTGTCCCACTGGTCTCTGCGCCCGCACACATGAATGGGCGGAAATGCGCGCTAAGGCAACCAAATCACATGTTCGGAGAAATGAGTGGAAACGACCTCTCAGGCTCTCGGAATCGACCCCTCGCCTGTCGTACGTATCATAGACTACGCGAAATCACGGCCACACGCACTAGTCTACACAAATAGTTGGAGGAGGCGTATAGTCTAGTGCGTGACGTCAGAGTGTGAATCTAACATGGCTGTCCTGTGCTTGCGTTGGCAAATGCTGTTGTCCGCGAAAGTCCGCGTCGTCCCAACTGAAGCGCATCACTGCCGCCGGGAGATCTTGAATCTTCTTGAGGATATTTCTGATGGGCTGTTCGCACAACGGTCGTGATTCCCTTGTTTGGTGTTGCGAGAAACAGCGGTTAAACGCTCCCAACAGCAAAACCTCAAATAAATGGACATACATGCACATGTGTTCCGTTGCTGCGGTCACCAATCCGCTTACATACACCTCGCCCCTTGCAACACACAACACAAACATCACCGCTCAGCAAACCCGACTCTCAGCCAGGTCCTCGAGGTCTGCACTTTTCCGAGGTAAGGCCGGGCATGTGGGAAAGACACTTTGTAAGACTCAGCGCGGGGCTCCTTGCACATATCTATGCATGCCATGTCGTAGTGGGTTTTCTTGTACCTATCCGCTCCGATGTAGCTTATGGGCTGGTGGTAGTGCGTTGTTTGGTTTGGTCATCCAGGACTGCTGTACAGCAAGCAGAGTACTATGTTCGTTTACGCATCTAGTGAATTGTGTGCGGGGTCTTCATAGTGTTTTCATTGACAAGGATTTTCAGGTGCGCAGAAAGCATGCAGCCACCCTCAATGTTGGTCGAGAGCGTCAATAAACAATGCAACGTTGTTGGCATTCCGTGGGTCGGGCACAGGGAGAAGACTGTTGGCTGTTGCCGTGAGACACGGTAAATAAGCTGGCTGTGTCCGAATCCTTGTTTTGGCCACCAGCTCCAGAAAGGAAAAGAGGAGAGAGGGAGAGAGAAGGGAAAGAGAGAGAGAAAGAGACAGAGAGGGGGAGAGAGAGAGAGAGAGAGAGAGAGAGAGAGAGAGAGAGAGCGATGCGCCCATGGAGAGCGCACCTCCGCGGGAGTGCGTAGTTAGAACCGCAGCCCCGGCCATCGGTTCACAGAAACTGGTCTTGCAGGTGCGGGAAGTTCGCGAGATCCAAACTGGGGCGGACAACGTGACTACCCCGGACGACCCTTTGGATCGTTGGGGAGGGCTGCCCAGCGGGCGCGGGCGTTGAGACTGCGCCAAGAACTACAGGACGCCGTTCCTGGGGCGTTCAACCTGTCTGCCAGCAGTCTGGAAGAAGTCGTGCGGGCTTGGATAGAGTTCGAACCTGAGTGGGCCGAGGACGCGAAGAAGAAATATCTGAACAAGGGCACGTACAATACATCTCAAGCCGCGAAGAAGATTAGGCGTGCGAAAGGGGCGGAGATGAGAGCCCAGTTGCTCGCGGCAGCGGCGGACGAGTTTCGCGCTGAGAGTGTCGAGACGCTCGACCTTGTCGTGAAGGATGCGGCGAAGTCGATCAGCGCAGCAGCGGAGATGGAAGATGTGAGTAATTTACAGCGGCATTTGTGATCAACGTGTGATTCTTTTGTTCTTCAGCATGCCGTGCTCGAACCTGGGTCTACACTCTGTGATTTGCACTGCTGTTTTATTTGTCAACAGGGCTTGGTTGGGGCGGAGTTTGTAGGGCGCCACCACCCCCTCCGAGCTCCGGCTGCGACCGCCAGAGTAATATATTGACCAACCTGCATTCTCAGCTAAAAA